GCTGTCAAAACTTTGAAGTCTGCAATCCTATCAATAAGAATGGAACTTTCTACTCTTGTCTGGAACCTGAACTGCATGAGTCACTTTGACACAGAGAAGCAGTTTCAGTTTCTACCCTAAATGCAGAACTTCTGATAGAAATTTTGAGGCATGACATTCCATGTTTTTCTTAACTTTGTAGTTTCCCAAGGAATCAGGACCTGGGTCCACCTCACAGTCCAGGTTTAATGTCGACCCTCTTTAACAGTCTGCTTCACTCAGCCTGTCCCAGCACTGCTTCATTTACATTCTGTATACCCTCCGTCCCTCCCCCGAACCTATCATCATCTTGCCTTTCTTGGTGTGATGAGATGCCATGCCGCATTGTTCCTCTGGTGGTGGTCTCCCTACTCAAGTTAGTAAACTTAATTTTGTTGGCCTGCAAGGTTGTCTCTGGTGTTATTCATCAGACAGGCTAGTGTGCAGCCCAGTAGTGCTAGAACCACTGCTCTCCACTGCTTTGCAGTGAAGGGTGTGGTCCAAACTCCTGTCAAAAGTGAACACAATTGTGATATCAGCCTCAAAAGGGGGAAGAAAATGCCCCAGGTACCCAAAGAGGTGATTGACTCAGCCTGAGCCACTAGATAATGACACGGATAAAATCCAACACTGCCTAAACAATTTCTAGGTGTCAGAAATTTTAACCATATTATAACCAAAATTCACACAGCCCTGAAATAGGGCACTGTTATCCCCACCATGAAGATGAGAAAACAGAGACTCGAGAAACTCAACAAATTATGCAGGATAGTTAGACAGTGAGTTGGTAGCAGAGCTAGGCTTCAAATGCAGATGTGCTAAGCAATCCTGTTTTTTTCACTACCTACACCACATCTTTCACAACCTGTGGCTCCCTGTGAGAATTGACCTCTCCAAAATCAGAGCCAACCAGGAGCCTTCTGGGTGTGAGCAGTCTTCCCAAATGTGTGCCCCATGTGGCTCAGCACCTATTCCTGCCAAAAAATAACAAAATAAAACCAGAGAGACAGATACTATGTCCCCAGTTCCCCTCACCCCTTTCCTGCTCCCCAGTATTTGGTGTCACAGCCACCCCTTACCCACATAGCCTGTGTGCTTGTGGAGAATCCCCACGAGTGGGCTAAGGGTAGTTTTATAATCTTTGCCACACTGGATTCAGGAACCCAGTGTGATCCAATCAGCAGGTGGCATTCTCCTGACAGTAGAAATTAGTTCCAGCATTGGCATGTAACCCAAAACAGGACAATGAGGCTCAAGGTAAGATTTCTGGGAGCTTCTGGAAAAAATATTTCCTGAGAGGGACTGAAACAGATGTTCTCTCCTATGAATATTGTAGGGTACAGAAGTAAGCATGAAATGGCAGCAGTCAGCTTGTAAATACCTTAAGAATCAAACAGGACAGATGCAAATAGCTGAAAGGATAGGCTCAGATAAATTGAGTGGGAGCCTTGATTGAGCCATGCCTGATCTCCACGCCACCAGTGGAATTTTTAGCTTTCATGATCCAATGAATTGCACCCTGTGGTTTATACCATATTTAAATTGGATCCTCTGCTCCTTGCCAACAAAGTATCTGGACCACCATGGCCTCCTTTGCTGACCAGTTGCACCTCTGAAGGCCCTGTGATCATCTCAGTTGTTCCATGTGACACCTTGGGAGCAGCTGAGGGCATCCATCATCCCTCCTTGGCATGCCCTATCACTGCTGGAGGGCAGAGTCCACACTCACGAGCTGTCTACAGTTTCTTTTAGGTGAGGAAACTGAGGCTGTGGGACGTGAGGAAGTATGAGCCCAGGTCCTGGGATTCCCAGTTCAGTGCTCTTCCCTCTACCTTGTAGCACTGTGGCTTCCCACAGACCAGAAAATGCTCCCAAACATTTACCTGGCACAGGCGCACTCTAGGCTACCTACCTATTCAGTGACTGCCTGGCCTGCTTACAGAGCCTGCTCCTAGACCACAGAGGAGGGCTTGCGCCACCATCTTCCCTGATCTTTCATCTTTCCATTTTAAAATGCCACAGGGGCAGAATTACTATTATTATGTATGTTCTTAAAACATATAACTTTGAGTCCTTTCATTTCCTGGGCCTTTCATAATCCTCCCTTGAAATAGCAGGAGACAGTCTCACCTGTAGTACTGCAGGGTCCAGGGACAAGAGGATAGATGGAGGCTCACACAGCAAATATCTAAGTATTTACATTATAATCAAACTAACCAACTATTATTAAATATGTTCTCTCTGCTTTCCCTACAGACACACTTTCATAAAGATCTGGAAAGCCAGGTTTGCATTTGGAATTTTTGGATTCCTCAAAGTTCTGTAGTAGCACAAGGAAAGCAAGGCCTTACCCGAGCCCTGCCCACTAGCCCAGCTCATCCCACACTGAGAGGGCCTTACATGCCTGTGTGGAAACTGTAGCCTGTGCATCCACAAACAGTTTGTCCCTGGCCATCTCTCAGGCTTGAAGGGGTGTACAGGTCACACTCAGGAGAACAGACATGGGGAAGAGGCCTGCATAGGCCCTGGAAGCAGGCTCAGGATCATGTAGGTGGAAACTGGTTTCCTGGGTGCCTGGAGCATGGTCTGGGGGGAGGCGAGCAAGCTCCAGTGGACATGTCACATGGCCCCATGGACTCCCTGGCCTGTGGGGAGGGTCACGACCAGAGGTGGGCCACGCTAGTGCCCTCCAAGGTAAGGGACCCAGGTCAGGGCCCCTCTTGGCCAGGTCCAAGGGCAGTACAGGACCTCTGTGTCATCCTAAATAAGGTCCTAAAACAAGGCCAGGATTAGCTGGGACTGGGCTAGTGAGACTGGGCTTTGTGATCTCAGGAATCCCTCCACATCTCCAGACCTGTTTCCTCCATTGTCTCTGAGGGAACAGGACTGCTTCCACTTTCTAGAACCTTCTGCAGAGTCTGGGAAACAGACTTGAATTCAGACCCCTCATTCCATCCAGCAATGCTGGGATTCTGGCCCCAACCCTGCAGGGAAGACAGACCCACAGTGGGGAAATGAACCACCTTTATTTCTTGACTTCCCATCTGGAGACCCTGCTATAAAGGGGATGGCTTTACGTGGTAGCATCGTCACCCAGGACCTTGCAGTGGAGGCAAAGGGAACCGGGCTGATCAATGTGCCCACCTGGGATGACCCCACCTTTAGGCTGTTCCCTCTACAGACCACCAACATGATGGCCCACTGGGCCAGAAACTCCTGTCTGTTGAATTCCCAGGACTCAGGCACATTAAATAGCTCCATACAAAAGCCCAAGAGTCATAAACAGGCAAATCCCATTTGAGGTTTGCCACGGGGGAGGAAGTCCTTCCAACACAAAGCTTGGCCCCCTCAGGAAAGATGGTGGTGAGGTGGCCCACAGTCATGCCAGCCCCATGGTCCTGTAGAAACAGACTCAGGCACAGACAGGAGGGCCAGGCTATGCGTCACAGAGACACAGGCCCTGGCCTTCGGGACAGATGCCATCTCTGTCCTGAGCACCCAGGAGAAGGGCCCAGAGGGGGAGACACGGGGTGGCATTCCCCCAGGGGCTGAGGAAACACCAGCAGCCTGCCCAGGTGTGCACTCAGGACATCACTCTGCCAGCAAAGCTCCTGAACAAGCAATGGACATGAGGGGCATCTTCAAGGCAGAGGTCAGAGTGCAGGGAGCCATGAGGTCAAGATGGTGCCAGGGAGGGTGGAACCATGAGAGGCACCCCTGTGGGAAAAGAGCATAAGGCCCACCCCACTGAGGCTCCACCTCCAGCCAGGCAGAGTGCGGCTTTGGCGGCCTTCCAGTGCTCTTGACAGCTGGCTGTCTTCTTGGGGAGCTGCAGCCACATGAGGCTGTGCCGGGCTCTGGTCAGTTGAGGACCCTCCAGGGGCCCAGAGCTGGGAGACCCCCAGAGAGAATGGACCCTCCTCCTGCTCTGCGGTTCGCAGGCCTGGAGTGAGACCCAGCTGCCCTGCATGAAGATGCCTCCTCCTGGAGATAAGAGGCATGGAGAGGTGGGCATGGACACCAGCTGCCCCCGAAATGGGGTGAGTGCAGACTCTAGCAGCCCTGCGGCCCACGTGTGTCTAACACCATCAGCCAAGTCCATGGCCTGGGCCAGCAGCACGCCAGAAGAGAAAGGGTACCATAGGCCGGGTGTCGGCCAGGTGGTAGCGATGGGGAACGATTCCACCAACTATTATTAAATATGTTCTCTCTGCTTTCCCTACAGACACACTTTCATAAAGATCTGGAAAGCCAGGTTTGCATTTGGAATTTTTGGATTCCTCAAAGTTCTGTAGTAGCACAAGGAAAGCAAGGCCTTACCCGAGCCCTGCCCACTAGCCCAGCTCATCCCACACTGAGAGGGCCTTACGTGCCTGTGTGGAAACTGTAGCCTGTGCATCCACAAACAGTTTGTCCCTGGCCATCTCTCAGGCTTGAAGGGGTGTACAGGTCACACTCAGGAGAACAGACATGGGGAAGAGGCCTGCATAGGCCCTGGAAGCAGGCTCAGGATCATGTAGGTGGAAACTGGTTTCCTGGGTGCCTGGAGCATGGTCTGGGGGGAGGCGAGCAAGCTCCAGTGGACATGTCACATGGCCCCATGGACTCCCTGGCCTGTGGGGAGGGTCACGACCAGAGGTGGGCCACGCTAGTGCCCTCCAAGGTAAGGGACCCAGGTCAGGGCCCCTCTTGGCCAGGTCCAAGGGCAGTACAGGACCTCTGTGTCATCCTAAATAAGGTCCTAAAACAAGGCCAGGATTAGCTGGGACTGGGCTAGTGAGACTGGGCTTTGTGATCTCAGGAATCCCTCCACATCTCCAGACCTGTTTCCTCCATTGTCTCTGAGGGAACAGGACTGCTTCCACTTTCTAGAACCTTCTGCAGAGTCTGGGAAACAGACTTGAATTCAGACCCCTCATTCCATCCAGCAATGCTGGGATTCTGGCCCCAACCCTGCAGGGAAGACAGACCCACAGTGGGGAAATGAACCACCTTTATTTCTTGACTTCCCATCTGGAGACCCTGCTATAAAGGGGATGGCTTTACGTGGTAGCATCGTCACCCAGGACCTTGCAGTGGAGGCAAAGGGAACCGGGCTGATCAATGTGCCCACCTGGGATGACCCCACCTTTAGGCTGTTCCCTCTACAGACCACCAACATGATGGCCCACTGGGCCAGAAACTCCTGTCTGTTGAATTCCCAGGACTCAGGCACATTAAATAGCTCCATACAAAAGCCCAAGAGTCATAAACAGGCAAATCCCATTTGAGGTTTGCCACGGGGGAGGAAGTCCTTCCAACACAAAGCTTGGCCCCCTCAGGAAAGATGGTGGTGAGGTGGCCCACAGTCATGCCAGCCCCATGGTCCTGTAGAAACAGACTCAGGCACAGACAGGAGGGCCAGGCTATGCGTCACAGAGACACAGGCCCTGGCCTTCGGGACAGATGCCATCTCTGTCCTGAGCACCCAGGAGAAGGGCCCAGAGGGGGAGACACGGGGTGGCATTCCCCCAGGGGCTGAGGAAACACCAGCAGCCTGCCCAGGTGTGCACTCAGGACATCACTCTGCCAGCAAAGCTCCTGAACAAGCAATGGACATGAGGGGCATCTTCAAGGCAGAGGTCAGAGTGCAGGGAGCCATGAGGTCAAGATGGTGCCAGGGAGGGTGGAACCATGAGAGGCACCCCTGTGGGAAAAGAGCATAAGGCCCACCCCACTGAGGCTCCACCTCCAGCCAGGCAGAGTGCGGCTTTGGCGGCCTTCCAGTGCTCTTGACAGCTGGCTGTCTTCTTGGGGAGCTGCAGCCACATGAGGCTGTGCCGGGCTCTGGTCAGTTGAGGACCCTCCAGGGGCCCAGAGCTGGGAGACCCCCAGAGAGAATGGACCCTCCTCCTGCTCTGCGGTTCGCAGGCCTGGAGTGAGACCCAGCTGCCCTGCATGAAGATGCCTCCTCCTGGAGATAAGAGGCATGGAGAGGTGGGCATGGACACCAGCTGCCCCCGAAACGGGGTGAGTGCAGACTCTAGCAGCCCTGCGGCCCACGTGTGTCTAACACCATCAGCCAAGTCCATGGCCTGGGCCAGCAGCACGCCAGAAGAGAAAGGGTACCATAGGCCGGGTGTCGGCCAGGTGGTAGCGATGGGGAACGATTCCCAGGCCAGCCGTGTGGCAGTTTTCCAGTACTTCGGTTAAGACAGGAGGCAGTGGCCCTGATCTTCCAGTCAGACTGAGGCAAAAGGGTGTCTCAATGGCAAGAGTTTGCCCTGTTTTTGTCACACGAAGGTGGCAGCTGGACCAGGATGGTGTGAGGCTGGTTCGATGAGGGCGGGGAGGCCGCTGCCAATTGGAAGGCACAGCGCCCTCCTCCTGCTCGCACCCCTCACGTGAAGTAACGGCAGGACGTGGAATCGATGTAGCAGTACTGCGTGCACTGAAGGTCTCCGTAGGACCTGAGGGGGCAGGCACAGGTCAGCGGCAGGAGAGCCTCCCCCTCCCCAGGCCGCACAACAAACGCAGTTCTGAAAGGCCGCCTCTGGTGCCCTTTGCCAGACCCTATGATTGGCAGCCCCCGCTACCACTGTACTCAGGGCCTGGGGGCCCACGGGGGCTGTTCTCATTCTCCCTTGAGGTGAGGAGCTGGAGGCAGGTGAGTCCAGGCCTTTGGGGCTTTTTCCCTGGAGCCCAGCTGAGGGATCTGGGTGGTGGTCTGGTAGCCTTGCTCTTACACAGCATCTCCAAGAGGATCCCTCCCTTTTCAAGGCCTGAAAGGTGTCCATTAGATCACACTGTTTCTATGCAAATGTAATTCTGTCCCATCCAATATGGCAGCCACTGGCCATATGTGGCCACTGAGCTCTTGAAATAAAGTCAGAGTGACTAACAAACTGGATTTTAAGTTCTATTTAATTTTAATTAATTTTAATATAGTAGTCACATGTGGCCAGGCGCTACCCTTTTGGACAGTGCAGTTGATACCTCTGTAAGCCCAAGTGCTAAACCCGAGTCAGGTCAGTGTGTTATACACTATGTCCACATCAAAGCATCCCCTGAGGCCTCTAGGGATTAGGGGAGTAGCCTTAGTGAACCTGGGGGTAAGAGCGACCCTGGCTTCACATCAACTGTACTCAGTTGTCTTTGGAGCCATCAGCCAGCTCAGACCTTCTGCCAGCTCTCTGGCAGGTGCCTGCAAGGAGCCCACCCTTACTTCAGGGATGAGGCACAGTGCAGACAGACACATCATGCGGGGGGTCCTGGCCAAGCCCACAGTGCTGTGGGTCTGGGGGTGACTACAGGTCTGTAGTTCTCCCAGCCATGTTTTGGGGAGTGGGCATTAAGGAGACTCCCTTGGAAGACAGACCAGAAAGGGAACAACAGAGAGACAGGCCTGGTGCCTGTCCCCCACCGCCACCAAGGGCCTGAGGCCAAGCCTACCAGAGGGTCAGGGACAGAGCTGGAAGCAAAGGTCAAAAAGATTGGACGCCCAAGTGACTTAGCAGGTGCGAGGGGCCACTGACCCACTCTGGAGCCAAGGGAGAAGCAGGACATGGGCTGGCGGGGGAAATAGCCTCCCCATTTTCCCCAGAACCCTCTAGCACTCTGGTTCTGTGAGGATTAGGGGGAACGTGGTACCATTCTGTGCCCTGAAAGGCACCCAGGAGGCTACATGCTGGATTTGGACTCAGTGCTTCATAAGGCCAGCGGCCTTCAGGTGGCTGGAAAGATGTCCACGTGGAGGCCAGGATTCTAGAATACTTATCCTGAGCAAAGTAAACACCCACTGAAGAGTCTCAGAAATAACTAGAGAGGCCCTTGACAGGACTACTAAGTTCCTGGGGTTCTCTTGGAGGAGCCATGTTCCAGCAAAATTAGACATAAATGCTGGTGTCACCTCGCTTGCACTCACATGCCTGTCCATGGTTTGGGGAGGGGGACTCCAGAAAATTCAGGTCACACAGATGCTTAGGCAATTTGACATCCACTGATACTTCCGCCCTCCCAGGCCCATTGCCCAGAAGACCAATGTGGTCAGGGGGTCAGAAGCTGCTTGTCCAGGGTCAACAGCTGAGCTTAGGGGCTGCTGGCCCTGGGCACCCAGGACAGAGCGGTGGCTGTGTCTGTCTGAGTGACATGCAGGCCACTCTGAGAGAGCACATGAGTGTTCTGTGTTTATCGTCCGTCCGCCCCAGGTGAGCAAGGACCATGAGTGGTCACCATACCTCAGTATCTAGAAATTACCAGTAACCTAAGAGGCACTCAAAAATGTTTGTGAAGGAAAGAAAAGGAGGGGAGGGAGACAGGGGTGTCCTGACCACACGCGAGGGGATCCCTACCCCGGGAGATAGGTCTCGCAGGTCAGGGAGCCAAAGTCCACGCCGTCGCAGTCCTCCACACCCTTGTGCCGGTGACCGTCTCCACAGTAGGCCCGGTGACAGCCTGAGGGGCACAGGAAGTGCAGACCTGAGGAGGGGCAGGCGGGCAGGCTTGCCTCTGCCTCTAAGGACCGTGTGGCTTAAAGGATCCACCAGACCCCCCTTGAAAAGGCCTCCATGAAGCTTCAGACCCAGACCCCACCCTGGAGAATAAGGGGACCTGGGCCACAGCCCAGCCCTGCACTTGCTGGCCAAGAGACCCAGAGCAGGCCAGTCGGCCTCTCCCAGCCTCAGTGCCTGCATCTCCATCTGGGGGCAGGGACACCACAGGACCCCTGCAGCTCCCGAGAGAAGAGCGTCAGGAGACTGTGAGCGCTGGGCACGGGATGGCCACGGTGGCTCATGTCTGCCTACAGAGATCTTCTAGCGTGGGCAACCCTGTGTCCAGGGGAACCAGATGATCTTAAGTGGGGTTCCTGTTCTCAGGCAAGAGGAGGGTCTTGAAGAATTAGCCCTACCCTCATTTTACAGGGCTTCGTGACCCCATTTTTCCTTCCTGCTGTGTATCTTCTATTTAAGAAGATACAGGCATCTGCACCAGGGCCAGAAACACCCTGGCATCTGCACCAGGGCCAGAAAGGACTTCCGGTGAAGCCAGCATCCTAGGGCTTCTCCTGGGAAGTGAACTATGCTGCGAGAGAACCAGCAGCCCCGCCCCAGTGCCGCCCAGTGCACAACCTCCTCACCCGCACTGCAGGGAATATGACTGCATCCAGAAGTGCACTCTGGCTCCTCACAGCAGGGTCTTACACCTGCCAGGGAAGGGATGCTGAGCCCTTACTACAGCCAGACAGTGCACACACACATTAGCTCGTGGGATCTCTAAAGACCTGAGTGGTACCATCATACTCATTTCTCAGCTGAGGAGAGTGAGGCTTGGAGCCATTAATTGCCCTCTGTCAACCCCACTCATGGAGAAGCCTCCCCTCTGGCATTCAGACTGTTCTGTCTGACTCGAAAGTCCGTGCTTTCCGTCTCACCTCTGCAGCACTATGCTGCCTGCCTGTCTTGGCAGCACCCCGGAAGCCCAAGCAGCCCTGGCTAGTCTGTTTCCCCCAGAAAGGGCTTTGCTACCAGGTTCTCCTGGGAAAAATGAGTTCTGATTCAAATTCTTGGCTTCTTGCTTTTGCCTTTTGCTCCTGCACCACCTTCATCTTTGGATAAAGAATGTGGATTGGAATGTGGGTTTTACCAAAAAGTAGGATTCAGAAAAAAGGGAGGGCCTGGTGGCTTCTCTGGGGGCCGGATCCTTTGGTCGGGGAAGAGTTAACATCTGGCCTGAAAGGGGCGGGTTGTTCCCACAGCAGCCTAGAGATACTCATTCTGGCTCTAGAATTGTCCCAAGCCACCACACTCCACCCTGATGGCAACCAGCCTCAGGCTGTCTTGGGCGGGGTCCCACTCACTGATGCAGTCATCACCCATGTCGGTGTTCCCATCGTCACAGGCCTCCCCGGGCTGCAGGACCCCATCCCCACAAGAGCCAGCATGGTTTACAGTGTAGTCCACAGGGTAGAAAGGGGTCATCTGGCCAAAGAAACACCACAGTTACCAGAGATGGCACAGGCAGGGTGGGTCGCTGGTGCTGGGGACAGAGTCTCCGGGTCCAGCAGGGGCCCTGCTGGGGGCAGCCCTTGGCTGCCTCCTGGGTGGGAAAGGGCTTCCTTCCTGGTCTCCCAGAGCTCTGCAGTGGTCAGCAAAGCTGTGCTGGATTAAGGCAGAGGCCTGGAAGAGTGGAAAGGCGAGGCATCTGGAACATTGGCTTGAGGAGGTTCTATCTGGGAGCAGGGCCATGGACAGCTGCTCAGAGACAAAGCCAGGCAGGATGCCCTGCCCTTCCGGGCACACAGACTGCAGGGAGGTCTGCCCAGGCCCAAAGCTGGCCTTCCTTTCCTCTATGATGTGCCCCTTCCCTGGAGCAGGGGACATGGGTGTGTGTCCTGAGTACCCTCCTTTGGATACCTGGATAGGGAGCCAGCCAAGGCTGTCCTTGAAGTACAGAGACCTCTGATCCCTGCGGAAGGCAATGGCATTTTGGGTGTTCAGCCTCTCAAGCTCCTCCTGGTTGTTAACCACAAAAATCTGCCAGAGAACACACTGGTGAGGATTCCAGAAAACACTTCTATGGGGGCAGGAAAAAAGCTGGAGGAGGAAACAGTCTCTAGCCTTGGGTTGGTTAACAGATGGGAGGGGAGTCTGCATATGTACTCCTCCTGAACTGGGGAGGAATGTGTTGATTCCCACATCTTCTCAATCCAATTGCTATCCAACTTTCAAATGAAAATATCCACCATGATGTAAAATTTTTAAACATTCAATATGTTCCCTAGACTTAAATAAAATGGTGATGTCATCTAATCAAGTAATTCAATATCTAGAAATGATTCTAACAAAATTTTTACACTCAGAGGTGTTCATTACAGTGTTATTTACATTAGTGAAAAACTGGGCACTGGCTAAATAGATCGCAGCATAGCCATGTGATGGATGATCATGCACCATTCAGCTGATGAAATGATGTCCAGGATTTACTTCAATATAACCCAATGTGGGGGCGGCAGGGTGCAGTGGTGAGTGAAAGTAAAGACAAATCAAGGAAAAAGGATTAGCCACGAGCTGATAATTGGATTTGGGTGAAGCGTACATAGAGGTTCATTTAGTTTCCTGTATTCATTTGAAATTGTCTATACTTTTTTGTTCTTAAAAAGACAAAGAAAATACTCCAAAATGGACCCAAAACCAAGTGCACAATTTGTTTTTCTTCTTTTGACTTTTCCTCATTTTATAAAGTCCTAATAATGAGTGTGTACCCAGGATAATGGGGGAAATAAGTTTAACTAAAAGGCTTTTATAAAGTCTTGAAAGGATCAGGTGAGAGGTCTTGATGCACAAGCACCCCTGACTTTTCCCAGCAGCACCTTACCACAGGAACTCGTGGGGTGCTGGGCTCGGGCATGGACTCCCCGTGGGAAGGGTCGTTCACGTTGAGGGTTCCACAGAGACATCTTCCTGGAGGCCCCGGAAATCCTCTGTCCCCTTTGGGTCCTATTACAAGTTGTCCTAGGAAGCAACAGACTGCTATGTCACCAGAGCGAAGGAAGAGAAGGCCAGACAGCCCAGGGAGATGTGAGCAACCTTCACAGCAGAAAGATGGCTGAAATCCACAGGACTCCAGAGTAGACCAGGGGAGAGGTTCAGGGGCACTTTTGATCCCAGATGTGGAGGAGGTGATATTTTTTGTGGGTCCCTTAATCACATGGGTGTGGCAGGACCTTTCCCAACCCTCTTTCTCCCTCCCCTTTTTCTATACTTTAGAGACTAGGCTATAGGCATTATACATGCATCTGGAGGTGACCGTGTGTTGCCGTGTTGGCCATGGGAGAAGGGTGGGCATCTGGAACAGTCTAGCCTGATAAGGGAGAATATAACTGATGGAAACACAGCTTCCTCCTCCTTCCTGCCTTGAAGAAAAACAAGATGTCTGGTGCTGCAGCAGCCATACTGCAACCATGAAGTAGTGAGTATCAGAAGAGAAGCCAGCATGCAGGAAAGATCAGGGTTTCCTGGCGGATGCGGCCCTGAGAGTGACACGTACAGGCTGAACCAAAGCCAGCCACTGTCCATCTCTGGACTTCCTTGCTGTATGAGGAAAACAATGCCCCCCCTTTTTCTAGGCCATTATTTATGGGAACTTCTTGCTGATGAATACATTGCTGACTGATAACTTTTATTATTTTTTAACTCATTTTATTTTGTTCTTATATATAGGATCTTCAAAGGAATTTCTGAAAGTGGGTTTCTTTGATTTCTTCTGGAAGAAAATGGAATGTTTAAAAATGATCAGCCCATTTATTCTTGCCTGGTACTGAGAAGAATATCCTGAAAAGCTACTATCAGGAAGTTTACTCCCAGCCCTATGAGGCAGACCTGCTAAAGCAGGAGTTCTTGCCTTAACTTTTAAGGGCCCTGATGCCCAGGTCACACCCCAGGCCAATTCCATCAAAACTGCTGAGAACAGAACTGAGGCATCCATACTTTGAAAAGCTCTTGGGGAGATCACAAGGCAGGCCAAGGTTGAGAACCACTCGTCTGGGGAACTGGTCTTTGCGCAAGTAATTCCCCCACCAGACTGTTCTCCGCATCATCCTCTCCCCCTGCCCTGGTGCCTCCTGGCTCACTCCTGACCTGGGTTCAAACATCACTTCCTCAGGGATGAACCTCACACTCGATAATGCTCACCTTAGATACACTCTCCTAGCTGCCTATGCCTTTTCTTTACAGCACTTATCTCTGTGGTTCTATACATTGTGAGAGTACCTGATCAACCTTGATCTCCCCCAGTAGAATGTAAGCTCCACAGGGCAGGGTTAGAGCCTGTTTTTATTCACCAGGGCTTGACACACAGTACAGGCAGTGGACATTTGCTGAATGAATGAATGAATGCATGCAGACTCACTGGAAAGAAAAGGTCTTCAGAAAAAGCTAGAAGCCACACTCCAGTTGACAGAAAAGTGGACAGAGCAAGAGCTATCCAACAGGAAGAGAAGGAGAGTTAAAGATGGAGATTGAGAAAGGAAATAAGTGCCCTTTGTTCTGGGAAAATAAGGGACAGTTTGGAGACCAGCCGGTCATTGGTTTCAGGTTGTGTAACAGCCAGGGCAGCCAGCAACTGGGGACACAGTTTGCAGATCCCAGAGGGCAGGAAATAAAGTGAGGGAAGAGGTCTGGTCAGGCCCCCAAGGAAGCTGCTGCAGGAGGGGACCCCCGAGGGAGGATGCCCACACCCTGAGCCTTCCTGCGCTGGTGGGCAGATATGCCCCAAACCAGAACGCTGCTGTCAGGAGGGGAAGGGAGGCTTGCCAACACCTTATACCAAATTACGGTTGTCCATTCTAACAAGAAATATGAGCACTATCCTGTGGGAAGAGTTCCAGTCTTGTGTCCTGATATTTTCGACAGAGCCCAGGAAGATGGACTCCACCAGCCCAGGAATATAAGCACCTGGGAAACTGAGGTGGGAATTCTCTGAAACCAAGCACATGAGAGTAGTATTGGGGCAGCCTGCCGGCAGGCTCTGCAACCCCCACAATTCCTCTAAAACCATGACCTCTGAGAGATTCAGGAGTTTGCTCCATTATCCAGCTAATGAGTGGTGAGGCTGAGATGTGGATTCATGTCTGACTTAGCACTATGCCATTCAAAAGGCAAATGTCCAAGAATTTTGATGGTCCCAGGAAGCTGGCAATTCCCAGGTACCACACCGAGTCACTTACTCCCTGCCTGAGCATAGGAAAGACTAAGCTAGATTTGTAACTGGGTTATTGCAAATTACATCCTACAGGCATTTTTGCTTTCATTCCCTCTCTGCCCCACCCCTCTTCTGTAACCTGGGCGATGAAAGGCTCACGCGGGCTCCGCCTCCTCCAGCACCGTCCAGTCCCCAGCACTGCACTCCAGCACCAGGGCAGCCTCCCCGGGAGGACAGATGTGGCCAGGAGCCTGCTTCCTGCCACCGCTGCAGTTTCCCTGTCGCCTCCTCCCAGCTGCCGGGACACCCGTTGCCCTGCTGGCTTCCTGCCAGGCCGTGTGAAGGACACAGCAGCCCAGGCTCCCCCACGTCAGCCTCCTGGGCGCGTCCCCTGGGCCAGCCTCTCCGCCAGCCTGCACAGCCGGGGAGCGGGCTCTCCACCTCTGCCCAAGGCGCTTTGCATCACCGCAGGCCGCAGTGGGAGCAGGGCTGAGAGGGAGAGGGCTGAGCAGGAGGCAGAGGAAGGCAGACGCGGGGTCTCCGCATCACTCCGGGTCCCACTCTGCCCCACGAAGGCTGCTTGGCTAAGTGGGAAGGTCTCGGGACCAGGAGTCACAGACTGATTCTGGACCAGGGTGGCCACCAGTCAGCGCTGCCACCTTGGGGAAGTCACCAGCTCTGAGGCTCGAAGTTCTTACCTATACAGGGAGGGTTGGACTAGACGGGGGGAGTTTAACCTGTAGCCCAGAGAGCCCAAGGACATCCCAAGACAGATTTGGGGCAGGGGTCCTGGAGCTCTGGCAAGTACTGTACAGAATCTTGGGTGTAGTAGACATGTTTTTTTTCTAAGTGAGTTTGAGCTTGCCAGACTTCAAAGGTAGTCTCAGGAATCACTTTGGGGGCCTGTTCTGAATCCTGATGGATATCCAGCTGGTCCCACACACAAGAGAGGTCTTTTTTTCCTTCTCTCCTTATCCCCCCTCAAAGTTTCCAAAGAGCAGGATTATTGCCCCATTTTCTTCAGGCCCCTCACTCTGGAAGCTCCCCAGATAGGAAATGACTCAAAGGAAAGCACAGGAGGGGACATCAGGCAAAGAGCTGGCCTGCATCCTGCCTGGCTGCTCTGCAGTAACCAGATGGGACAGATCTAGGAACACTTACAGGGACCTGCCCCGTGAATGCAGAGCCAACTGGGCCACAGACGTTGGCTCAAGGACTTGCCATATAGAAGGAAACAGAACACATCTGCAGAGAAAAGTTACCAGTGGAGGTGGATGGCAGAGAGGCAATGTGGGATTGGGGCCTGGGGGAAGGAGACGCATCCCCTGAGGAACCCAGGAGGGCCTCACTGAGGGAAGGCGCACACTTTGTTGGGTAAAGAGGCTAACAGGAATGCCATTTCAGCCGTGGGCCCAGGGAGACTGTTGGACGTGCTCCAGCTCAGCAGGAAGCAGAGCACAGTGCAGAGGGTAGTGGGGCTGGGGGCTGGGCAGAGGATGGGCGCTGGGCAGGAGGAGGGAATGGGCATACTAGGTTCAATGAGAACAAGCTGGAAGACCAAGGGAGAAAATAGGACTATGCTGGCCCTGCTAAAGGGTTGCAAACCTCAGAGACCAACAAGACAAAACAGTGGGCGTCTGAGTGAGCTGCAGAGGGTCCTCAGGCCCTGCCCTTCTCACCCAACCCCTCGCCTCAGGATGCCCCCAGGATTCAAGTCAGATGAGGGCTGGCCTTTACAAAGAGGTGCACACAGTGAAGCCATAAAGGTCTGAGCTCGCTAAGGACATACCTATGCATCCACACCACCCCCCACCTATGTTGCCTGGCTGCTACTCAGTTTTGTGAGCCCCTAAATATCCCAAGGGTCAAAAGAGTTCCTTCCAAAGGCAAAACCGAGGCATCAGGCCATGCTCTCAGTCTCAGGTAGGCAGCCCAGGGTCACGGGGCTTGAAGGGAATGGCCTGCAAGCCAGAACCAACAAGGAAGAGGACTAATTAGAAAGACCCCTGTCAGCCCCCACTGGGGTCATCCAGTCAACTCATGGAGACAGACTATAGGGCATGGACACATGGCCTGGGCTATATCTCAAATCTAGTCCCCTTAACAAAACAGAAGTATGTGTGCAGGATAACTTAGGGTCATATTAATTGGTCTCCCAGTAGCATTTCCTCTCTGGATTTCAAGGAGGTAGCAAGACTGTGCTTTCTTGACCTTGCTGAAAACATGTACTATTTGAAGATGTCTGCCTTTCTGTTCTCAAAAGAGAAACACTCCTAAGTGGGGAGACAGGGTGTGAGGAATGTGAGGAGGGAGGGTTCCTGACACAGGAAGTTGAACCACAGAAACCTGGATTCCCAGCCTTGGAAATGTCCCGATCCCCAAGCATGGCGGTAGGACAGAGGCCACCAGATGCCCATAACCCACATGGCCTGAGACAACAAGCATTTCAAAGGCGAACAGGGCAGAGCAAATGCTGGACGTTTTTCTGCCACAATTCCCCAGGATCTTTGTCCATGTCTTCTGTGGCAGTTGGAGGAGTAGAAACAACCCCAGTAATGCCTGAGATTCAATTTTCCTGGTGTCCTGGCAGATTAAAGTCCCAGAGCCAGCTTTAATTTGCTTTAAAGGATTAAACAAAACATGACATGTCTTGACCATCACATGATATAGCTGAGAATATAGTCCCATAACCCCCCACCCCCGCCCCCAGGGGGTAGATATTTAAATGTATTTATTTTCTTAAGAAAAAATTGGAATGACAATCATTTAACTTGCCCCATTAGGAAATAGTCTTCTTGGGTCTAGGGTGTTG